AGGGATTCCCCCGCCCAGATCTGCGACCGGGCGGACTACGCCTCGACGCTGGGAAAGCTCGTCAAGCGCGAGGAAAGATCGCTCGCGGAAGAGCCCCCGCCGTTCGAGAGCTGATTGTTGAAGCAGCGGCGCTGGTCGCGACGGAGATGCTCGCGGCCGAGGTCCACGACGAGGCCTCGCAGCTTATCGTGGTCAGAGGAGCAGCGCGCGCGCTCTGGCGAACTAATCACTAGCTACAGGCTCGCGCAGCGCATCGTCGACCCCTCGCCCGAGGCCGTCTCGCGCATGGCCGTCGTCGGCAGTTGCGCAGCGCATCGCGCGCCCCGAATTGTGCCGGAGCTGGGCGGAGAGGGCCCGCATTCTTGCTGCGGAGAAGGATGTTGCCGCGATCCAGTTGGGGACTGGCAAGGCCCGCAGAAAGAGAGGCCGGGAGGCCGAATGGCTGCCGCCGAACGAGGCGCCCAGTTCAGGGCCCCCTGCGGCGCGCGGATGGCACCGCGCGGCGTTGAGACAGGAGAACGAGTGCGCCTACACCGGCTCGGCCGCTGTCATGCCCTCGCGCGCTACTGGGCCCGGATCTTTGCCGAGGCCGCCATCGACCCTGACGAAGCGCGAAGCTACGTGCGCCTGTTCTTGGGCCCCCACATCAACGTGGACCTGCCCCCGCCAATCGCCGACGACATGGCCAGGGCGATCTGCCGCGTGGCCGCAGTCCGCTCGGCGCCAGGGGTCGACGGCCGGCCATGCCGCGCCCGCCCCAGTCTCGTCTGAGAAACTGGGCTGTCTTTCAGAGGCTTCGTCATGGATGTTCCGCTGTCTCGTTCCAAGAAGTGCTTCATAATACAGCATGTCTCAAAATTTGTCTTGTAGATGCTTGCCTGGATTCCTTGTTTCGAGCTTCTGCGGCGCTGGGCCCGACGGCTGCATCCGAGGGTGCGTTGCCACTGCATGGCCAAGTTTCCAGCGCGATGGTGGACCCAGCCCTTCTCTTTCTGCCGCCGTATCCACCCACTCTTTGACCCCGTCCCTGGGCGTGTCTTGAGGCGTGAACTACATGGAACCAGTGCCGAGTCGCCCATTGTAATGTCCACCGTCGCCATGCATTTCCAAGGGCGACGCGCGCGCGGAAATGGCCGGGGGCTGGGCCGTGTGTGAAGCTATTCTTGAAGGTTGTTTAGTCGGTGACACGGGCGATTGGAACTTTGCCAGCAAGGGGAGGTAGAGCTTCTCGCGGCCATCGGAGGCTCGAAGGAATTCCCCCCCTGCACGAGCGGCGCAGGCGCCGACGTGGTCTGGCAATGCAGATCGTTCTCTTGCGATCTCGCATGTTGCTGCCACCCGTTTTCACTCGCGGCCAATTGCAGCTGCCACCATCGACCGTTTTTGGCGCTCGCGGCCGGGATGGATTGTCGCGCAAATATACTCGAGCGCTCGCGCGATCCGGGGCCCTGAGGAGCTTCCGGGAGGCAAGCTCAATGGCCGTGCTGCCCCGGCCGCCACCTCCTCCCTTCGCAAGCTGTCCGACCTCGGCGAAAATCCGTCCTCGCATGCCTTGCGCGTTCACCCGTTTACAAGACAGCTCAGCGAAAAGACTTCCAGCTCGAATCGCAACATCTGGTGCATATTCGTTCCCCAAGTCGACCTGGGGCGGCGCAGAATATTGACGCGGGGAGCTGGTCGCGTTGTCCGACACCTCTTGGTGTTCAAGCGCCCGAGGGGGCCCCGCGCTCTTGCTTCTTGCCCATGCGCTGCCCCTTGCAGGCCAGCGCCGTGGCGCGGCAGAGCTGTTGCTTGCCTCGCACTCGATGGCCTCGGAATTGTTTGAGATCCGCGGGGCACGAGTGCGCGCGGTTCACCCGGCTTCGATTCGGCGCTAGACCAACGCGGTGGAATTCCGTCATCTTCGGGCGCCTTCCTCGAAGAGGTTCCCTTTCAGAGCGGCGGTGGTGGATGGGCAAAGGGCGGAGGAAGCGTTGGGTCGCGCTCGCGCTCTTTTCTCTTGCTGCAGACCTATATTCGCTCGTGAATTGAATGGTGGTCAGCGGCGACTGTTGCTGCTTATTCTGGCAGATTCTCGAGCCTGGTCAGTTTCGACGATGCCCCTTCCCGCCGACGCTCGCGATGCTGAAGCGAGTTGCGCTTGACGCCAGCGATTTTGCCCCTTGCTGCGATGGACTGCGGCATGCTGCGTGGCTCGCACACTCGTCTGGCACTCTCTTATTGCATGCGTTTTGCTGTGGATGCTGGCGGGCGACGGTCTCTTCGTGACCAGGGGCGCCACGGTGCAGGCGTCCTTGCCGACAGGCGGGCTAGATCCTGACGCGGCCGACGGCGAGTGCGATCGGGAAGCAAATTTTGTTCAGGTCCCGGGCTTAGACATTCCAGCATTCACTTTTTGGACGGCGGCGGAAATTCTGCGATTCCTCGCCCTCTGGGTCGGTTCGTTATTGGGGCCAGCGGGGTTTCGTGAGAGGCTGAAGCTCTTGCGTGAGCATTCTCGAGGTCGATGCTGTGTCCCGCGCTCGCTCTGCAGGCCTGAAGCTGACGATGACTGCCCTGTCCTGTATGCTCTCGGCTACGGGCATGCGTTCCCGAGCCTGTCGCATGAGTTTGCGGTGCTTGTGCCGGCTAAAATGCGATGACCGAAAGCGCTGCTCATGTTCGTCGATCTCCTCCATGACGCGGTGGGCGGGGTGTTTTCGGCCCAGGGAACGGTTGCCCGCCGGTCTTCACCGCCCACCAAACCAACCCAACCCAACCCGAAGGGCCCAATTCGCCCTCCATTTCCGGTGGTGGGGGGTCGGGGAACATTGACAAACACAAATGAAGCCCGTGCCCCCCACAACCCGAAATTTGAGCAAAATTCCGGTATTCGGGTTGGGTTGGGGTGGTCTGGTAAGTAGTCATGTCTGTATCCGCTCAGGCACTAACCGGGCAGATGCGCTAAAGGCTTCTCTGTTTGTTTTTGCTCTTTCAAGTGCCCTTCGCGCTTTGCACCAGTGCTTCGAGTCGAAGAGCCATGGCATCAACCGAGCCTGCGCCGATGATCTAGGTGGGGCCTTGAATGTTCTCGGGCCATGCCCGTGGTCGAGAGGATCGTTCAACTGCAATTCAAACCCGGCAAGTGTGTGATAGTGTTGTCTAAGGGGTCCTTGTCGATTATATTCAAGTCCAAGACCAGAATTTCCTGAATGTGTTCATTTCTGTATGGAGTCCGTGCCGCATTACTGGGAGCTCTTTTTGTGACTATGGATGCGGGTGGGCCCTGCTGCCATTATTCAATCGCTTCGCTCACTCCGCTGGCCCATTTTTGGGCACTGCTGCGTCGACTGGCCGAATGGTCGTTGGCGGCGTTGAGCTGCAGAGGCGTCTGCTGTTTTCTGATGCATGGCGTGGGGCATGATGCTGGGGCGATTCGTCTGGATTTCTTGGGAGTTGTTAGGGGAATCGGTCGCTTTTCACGCGGTGGCTAGTTGTGTGGTGATTGATTGGACTTCGATTGTCTTCGTGGGGGCTTGCTGGTCGTGGGTGCTCACTCTGGGGCTTTTCGATGGGGCGCAGGGGACATTTGATGCGGCGGTCTTGGGGTCTCCTGGCAGGTGTCGCGGAATCCTTTTGGAGGCAGTTTCGAAGTTTCTTGAGGCCTCGTCGCCCTGGAGGCCTGATTTGGGGCCTCTGGGGGGCTTTTTGGAACTTCCGGGTGCTTCTTGGGAGCCTACTTGCGGTCTTGGAGGGGCCCCTGGGGTCGGACAGCTTCAAATGGCATTTCGAGTTCCCTCTCTGGTGGCGTCGTGGAGCCCTCTTGGGCCGTCTTGGAGCTCTCTTGGGCCCTCTTGGGCCCTCTTGGGCGCATTTTGGGGGCATGTTGGGCCATCTTGGGGCGATCTTGGGGGGCTCTTAGGCAGTCTTGGACGCTATGAACCTCCGAACGTCGTCTATGCCAGAACTGCACGTTTCCCTTCGGAAATCAGACGATTTATGGTTGTTTGGGCCCTCTTGGAAGGCCTCTTGAGGCTCTCTTAGGGTTGCTCGGCGGCGCCTAGGGCCGTCTGGAGACCAGCATGGGCGTCTTGGAGCAGTTTTTCGGCGATTCGGGGCCCCCCGCTTGGCTCGGCGGCGAGCCTGGGGGGGAAGTGATAGGGAAACGGCCTTCTCCGCAGACGGCGGGCTCCCCGGAGGCCCTCCGGCCTGCCGCGAAGGTCCTTGCGTTTTGGAGGAAGGTTTAGACCACTTTTCAGAAGGCTCGAGAACTTCCGAACCTACTGAAAATGCCCGCCGCTTCTCACTTCTCCCCCAGGCTCGCCGCCGAAAAGCGGAGGCGTCATCCTCGAGCGTTCTCATTGCGAAGATTTGCTTGGATGTCCGCGATCAGCCATCATGACATCGAGTGCGCTCGCGCAACAGGCTTTTGGCAAACCGTTCTTGGCAAGGGTCTCCACAAGTAGTTTCCCCGCTGCCTGCAGCAAGTCCCGCCACCTGTGCCATCGCAGCACTGGCATGCGCGCAGGATGGCTATATCGAGCTTTCACGAAGAAGCCCTGTACAACCACAACGTTGAGAGGTTTCGAGCGCCCCCAAGACTCTCTGGGACCTTCCTGGGCGCGATGGTTATATTGGGGGTTCCCCTGTATCTCAGGTAGGTCCATATGGGCCATCCGAGAAGCAGCTCTACGATGTCGTGGCGCGTGTTACACTTTGCTTGGCTACCGCGTTATTTCTTTGAGGAATCGAAACGGTTTCATCGGGCTGGTTGTGTTCAGACAAGTGGTGGAGTAGTCTCGCTGTCAGTGATCGTTCGTTTTCCACGCCGCTATACCACTCGGCCTCCCGTTCGTCTCCGCCGATGTCACGAGAAGTTATTGTCGCTTTCCCGCCCTCGTTTTCCTGCTGATTTTTCTGATCCGCCCTCATCTTACCCACCGTGCCGCTTATCGCCCTATCACGGTTATCCTTATTCCTTGCTTATGCCATTTGTGCTGATGCTCCACCCCTCCGGTCAGGTACCAATGAAAGCAGGGCCAGCGAGGAGCTCCCTGGTTGAAGCCTACGCGCCCCGTCGGGCTGGTTGTGCTCCGTTACTTGATTCGTCGTCCTCGCCCCCGTCCTGCTGCCTTCCCCTCGCCACCCTGCTCCTTGCCCCTCCGCTCCCTGCGACCCCCGCCTTCTCCTTTCTCGCCCCCTGTGCTTCTGCTGCAAAGCGGTCGGGAACTTCTTTTGGCCAGCGTGCCGCCCCGACGCTTCTGCTGGCCAGCCACACCACGCTTCCGCGCGACACGTTATCCGCGGCTGATCGCCTTGGCCCCGAAGGGGGGCGACGATGTGTTTTGGCGCCATTGCTGGATGGCACGGGGGTGACGCCATGACGTTTGTTGGAGGGCATCCGCTCTGGACGCCCGTCCACACTCGACTGCGGCCGCTGTTTGGCAGGCGACTTTCAAGACAAGTTGTGCTTTGGATTTTCGGCGCGACACGTGCTCCGATCCCCGGCCCCCGCGCGTCGGCGCCCCGAGCTTTTCCCCAGCCCCCCGCGGAGCGGAACGACGACACGCTATAGCTGCTCGCAGGGCACGGCGCGTCGCTGGGGGCCGCCGCCGCGGCTCGCCATGCAAAGTCTTCTTGCTCGCATGGGGTGCTCAGCCCCGAGAAACAACGCCAACCTCCTACTCTGGAACTGAGTGGGCCCTGGAAGCGACAGAGCCACGAGAGCGTGGGGAGGGGGGAGAGTAGCAGGAAGTGGCTGAGGAGGGGGAGGAGTAGAAGGAGATGGCTAGGGATGGGAGGAGGAGGAGGAGGAGGAGGAGGAGGAGGAGGAGGAGGAGGAGGAGGAGGAGGAGGAGGAGGAGTGGGCCCTGGAAACGACAGGGCCGTTTTTTTAAACCCGTTCCGTTTTGCCGTTTTGTTGCCGGTTCCGACGCCGCTTTTGTTACCGGTTCCGTCGCCGTTTTTTGACCGGTGCCGGCTCCGGTTCCAATCCTGGAGCCGTTTTTTTGCCGTTTCCGGTCGCCGTTTTTTTGCCGTTTCCATTTTCAAGGGGCATTTTTTTTGGAAACGGTGGAAAAACGGCCCTGCCGTTTCCGGGGCCCACAAAGCTCTAGAAGCGCAATTGCTGTCCCTGACAGAGCCATGCGCTCGGGACAGTCTCGGGCGATGTCGGGGGTGCTCTGGCCCAGTGCTTAGGGACATGGTGTGGGTCCAGTGCTTACGGACACCGTGTGGGTCCAGCTTCGCGCAAGTTGTATCCAGTTGCGGCTGTTCAAGTACAAGCGAATGAGCAATGGCCTCCAGCCGCCGCCTCCCACCTCATGCTGCGGCCGAATCAGACCCACCAAGCCACCGTCCATAATCGCCCACGCAGACCTGGTGTTTGGGATGGTCCCCCAAAATGCCCTGCAAATACGACGTGTGGTGGAAGAGTTCATAGGCCTACCAATCGTGTTGTTGCGCGCACTGTCTTTCATGGGAGCCTGAAAAAATCGCTTGTGGTTTAGAGGAGGCCAGGGCCATGTGAAACGATAGCGTTTTCTTCCCAGGGTCCCACTCTTCCATATTCCATATGAGAGACAGAGGGATCCGCATTGAGGCGCAGCCTCATGATCAGGACAAGCACCCGTATCACATTGAATCATGAGTTGTTCTTTCTTCAGCTGTCTGTGGCAAGTCCCGTCACCGTGTCAGTCTGGCAATTTGGGTGGCGACTAAATGGGGAGCGCAGAAGAGGTTGTAACGTTGGACACCTCGTTTGCCGAGGATTTGGGTATCCGTCACATGTGACACACTCTTGCGCGTTGTGTCGGGCGGAGCTTCTATTATCCTCTCCGTCGTTATCACTCCTTTTTTGTGTCTTTTCTTGTGCTCCTGTGGGGCAGTATTCGTGTGCCTTTGGGTCACTCTGGGCACTTTGGGGCCCTCTCGGGGCTCTCTTGGGTCCTCTTGGCCGTCTGGGGGGTCTCTTGCGGCCGCTGTGGGGTTGGAAGGGGAAGCGCCCTGAACCACCTACGCCCTAATAGCTGGTGGGATTGGACCCAGTCAGTACACGAAAAATCCCTCAAGGCTTGTCGATGTCTCCCTTATCAGAAGTTGGGTGAATTGTTTTAGTGTGTGTGGTGTTTCCGTCTCCTTCCTTCGTCCCGCGCCCCCCCCATTCATAATCCATAGTCCACCGAGACGCATCACACATCTACTCACTCATAAACAGTCCTGCTCACAAGTCTGTTCACTCGTTCTCAGACTCACCTACATTCAGGCACAACCTCATTGTGATCACTCCTTGTCAAGCTCGCTCGCACTCAGGCTTGCTCATGCCCAGACTCACTCGTATCCAGATTTCCCCACACGCAGACGCATTCAGACTTGCCGCTCGTACCTATCAGAGTGAGGGGGCACAACGGTCTTCAATCATCACTGGCTGCGTGTGTGAAGTGGGATTGCGTGCTTCTGCTTGTTTGTTGCTTGTTGTGTGCTGTCCGTGCTGCTGTTGAATTTTCATTCCTGAGTGATATAGATTGCTGATCCCCTCCCCGGTGCACCTGGCGCTTTTTACACAAGGGAAGGCGTTCTCTTACAAGGGAAGGTTTTTGGCTTCACATTGGGTGGTGGGCCCCTGGTCCGCAACGACAAGAACAACAACGGATCCCGCCAGAGATCCCTTCGTAATTCCCCAATCAGTGCTCGCACCGAAGGGTCCCTGGCGGATCTTGAAGGATTTGGCGAAAGTTGGCGGCCAATTTCGGTGGGCGGCCTGGTTCCCAGCTTCCCGGTTCGGAGTTCCCTGGTTGCAGTTGCTGGTTTTGGGCCGATTTTGGTTGGCGGAGGGATTCCCGAGCTTCCAGGTTCCTGGGTTCTTGGTCGATCTCCAGATCGATCGGTTTCACAATCGATCTCATTACCCACCTCTCTATCGATCTCACAATCGATCTCACAATCGATCTCACTATAGATCGCACGAGCTATCCCACGATCGATCTCACGGTCGATCTCATTGAATCGGCTTCTTTATCGGTCTCACGATCAATTTTAGGATCGTCCTCACTATCGATCCTACGATTGATCTCATTATCGATCTCACAATCTATCTCAATATCCACTGATTGGGGCGTTTCTCTGGCGTAGTTAACTATTTTGAAAATTTTGGTGGGCGGCGGGGTTCCGGGTTTCCAGGTTCCCCGTCTCTATGTTGCCACAAGCCATACGAATATGAGCCACCTCCTCTTACCACGTGGTGCAATTGGGTTGGGTACGCCACAGGTTTAATGACAAGGAAACGTACTCCGCTTTACATGGGGCCACCTGCCCCCGAACAGCAACAACCACAACAACAACAATGCCAACAGCAACAGCAACAACAACCACCCTCATGTTAAGACTGTTCGCTCCTAGCTGCTCATGTGCCAATCACCGCATAGATCCCAAACCCTCGGTACCCGCCCTCGTCGTCTTTGATCGTACCCCGTTGGGGGTATAGCTTCCTCACTTGCCACGCGCATTTGGTACAGCCTTGCAACAAGGCAAGAGAGGACGGGTGGAAGGGGATGAATAAGATGGAACACGAGAGAAATTTGCAGGAGGGGGGCAATGAGCAGAAAACACGTGGTAGAACCAGACGGGCATATCGGGTGGGCAAACACATAGCGGTTAGGTCGGGACGGCGGGCCCAGGCGACCAGGTCGAGCAGGCTGGTTGCTGAAGCGTGGGTCCTGCATGAATCGCGAGGAAGTTTCGAGCGATAGTGCGATTCTCTAGTAAATCGTGAGAGCAAAGCCAACGCGAGAACGTGATTCCTGAGCGCCGAAGGCGCATCATCTGAATACACTGTAAGGAAGTCCCACGCGAGAGCGCGATGCGTACATGAATTGTGGGGAAGTCCCGCGCGAGAGCGCGATGTGGGAATACAGGCGGGAGCCGCTGTTGTTGTACACCAGGCGCTAGGGGCCCAGTTTGAGCCCCGTGACTTCCCTGATGGACAGATAAACAGGGTGCGAGCCTTGGGGGAAGCACTTCAATTGAAAAACATAATGGTCACAGGAGGAGGGGGATCAACAATCATTATTCTTGTGTAGTGAGGGTTCAACAGCATCAACACCAATCCTTTTCAGGCTGCTCGTTCTTACCCACGCGCGTGCCATTCAACAAATGTACCCCGAATCCTCGATACCTGCTTCTTTTGTCTGCGATCGTACACCCTTGGGGGTATACGTTTCTTACCTGCAACGTGTATTTCATGCAGCCCCTAAGGCAGGGGAAGAGAGAACGGATGGAAGAAAGGGGCAATGGGGAGGGACGAGGATGGAACACGAGAGAGAGAGAGAGGGAGAGAGAGAGAGAGAGAGAGAGAGAGAGAGAGTAACAGGAGGGGGGTTAGGAGCAGACAGCACGTGGCATAACTTAAGGGGAAGATCGGGCGCGTAGATCCTAACGGGCGGGACGGGGAGGAGGGCCCACGCGGCCAGGTCGAGCAAGCGGGTTGCTGAAGCATGCATCCTGCAAGCTCGAGCGACAGCCCGATTCCCCAAACAATCATGATTCATTCCAGAGCGAGAGCGTGACTCCTGAGTGTCGAGGGCGCGGCGTCTGAACAAATTACAAGAAAGTCCAACGCGAGAGCGCGAGTTCTGCATACATTGTGATGGTTTCCCGCGAGAGAGTGCGATTTGGGAATAACGCTCTGTGAGGAGGTATCAGGCGGGAGCCGTTGTTGCCGTAACTCGTGAGCCAGGGGCCAAATTCTGATACACAACATTTCCCCTTACAAAAAAACAGGGTGCGAGCCTTGGGAAGGGCACTTCAACTGAAGAATTCAATGTGCCCCAGAGGGGGGATCAACAATAGTTATCCTTCAGCAGTGAGCGTTCAACAGCAGCAACAGCAACAACAGCAGCAACAACAGCATCAACAACACCACGCAGTTTAATATTGTTCGTCCGCATCTGCCCGCGTGCCATGCAAGATGCATATCCTAAACCGTTGATGCCCACCTTGTTCGTCTTCGATCGTACCCCCTTGGCAGTCTATCTTTCTTACCTGCTACGTGTATTTCGTGCAGCC